ACTCAGACAAAGAGAATGTTCACTTCCCCACAGTGGGAAACATCTGAGTGCATTCTGCTGATTCTGTATGTGCACATGAATCATTTAGTGTGGAAACTTACATCCAGGTTGGCTCCAGAAAGATCAGCCCGCTCCAGGTTGGAACAGCACAGGTTGGCATGTGTCAGATTGCAGCGGCTAAGATTAGCCATTTTAAAATTGATGTAGCGCAGATCAAGCCGGGACAGATCGGCACCACTGAAATTAAGTCCCTAATAACAGTAAAAGTAATAGTGTCAAATATTAACTTGATGTGGTGAAATGATGGGGTAAACTGAAACATTTTCAGGCAGCTGCACCTGACAGCGGAGCTCAGACTTGGTGGGTGTTGCCAGAAGGAAACGAACAAACTCCTTGCGGGAAATAGGAGAGTGGTCATCAGGTGGCTGTGAATTCTGTTTTGAAAATAAGCATATGGCAAGTCAGCATACACTGAAAGATGTAATTAATGATATGATCAAATGTAAACCACATCCCTTCCACCCTTTATTTTACCTTGATTGCTCCTTCCAGCTGTTCAGCAAGCTGCTCAATTCCAAAGAACCGTGCCTCCTCAAGGACACCTGGAAGGCATTTGGGACAATCCGAACTTAGCTTCAATTTTTAATCAGGAAACTTTAATTAATGACCCTATTCAAACTGATTCAGGTGCTCGGGCTTCCTCCCGCAGTCCAAAGACATGCAGCTTAGGGTGATTGGAGACTCTAAACTGCCCCAGGAGTGAGTGTATCTAGGCACGAGGGTGTCACATCAGTGACTTCTGTGCCAGTCCCAAACCCGGATAAATGAAGAGAGTTGCGTCAGGAAGGGCACCCGGTGTAAAAACATGCCAAAGTTAATCATGCGAATTGGATTCGCAGTGGCGATTCCTAACAGGAACAGCCGAAAGTAGAGTAGTTGACTCAAACTGATTCAGGTGGACTGCTTGATATAGGATTCATCACAAAGCTTACCTCGTATATTTATGCCTTCATTGATAATGAGCTGACCATGTCTCAAGTAGTTGAGAATTGGCTCAAAGTATTCAGGGCTGCGGTCGATCAGATAGGCCCCATGCTCATCCTGCTTGTTGCCCCACTCGTCTGGAACAAACACACAGGTTGACAAAACCCATTCAAAAAGAAGGGTCCTATAAAACTAATGACATGCCTCCTCATTGGCTCATCCACTCTGTAGCCATAACCTACCTTTCTCTCGAAACATGTGAGCAAGCATACTATCTGGTTCCTTGCTGACCAAGGTGCTCCTGAAAAAAGAATTTTAAAAAACAGCAGCAGACAAAAACAAACATGAATATACAACGCATAAAGATGTGAAGTCTTTTGTAAAGTGTGTATTGAACCCAGCATTAAAAGCACTGCTACCTGGTGGTAGTGAAGAGACGTCCACCAATATTAAGGGTCAGCCAATCCGTGTGTGCTCCATGCAAACCAGATGTAACTTTGGCTTCACTTTGAGGATCTGTGATATTAAAAAGTGGCTTTAAACATGTGCATACTTTAGGTTACAGTGGGGAAGAGACTCCTGCTGGAGACCTGACAGCACTCACCAATAAACGGATCTCCTTCTGACACAAAAAGCACGTCGTCATCTCTGTTAGAAGCACAAACAGACAGACAAGACACACAATGAGATGACAGGCTCATAATTATTTAGGAACATATTATTAAAGTGTGATCTTACCTTATAAGGGTAATGTCGTCTATAAGACCACCCTTTCCATTGTATAAACAAGAGGCTCTGATTCCTAGCTTATTGCTTGCTACTGAGAGTAAGTCAGACAAGGTCCCATACACCGCTACAACCTAAAAAAAAAAAGATTTCAAAACCAGAGGGTTGGTGAGGATTTAAGTCTGAAACTAACAGGGTCGTTCCTGTCTAATACAAGGTTAATGAGTCACATTGAAATAGTCGCTGAAATAACAGTTACGTTCAGAAAATGCCACGAAGGCTAACGTTCACCTTCACTTCATGTGACTATAATAACGTACAATATAATCACGGTGTAAGTTTAGCGTCAGCTGCTATAAACAAAAACGTAGTTAACGTTGTACTCAGTGGAAAAAGCCAGTCATTCTGCGGCCCAACCTCCCACAACAAACAGCCTGAGATATTACCCACCTTGCCATTTTTAGATTTCCCGTTAACAAATAATGTAACTCTTCTCATTCTTTATGTGCTTTGGTTAAAATACTTTGTTATAATTTCAACAAAAACCTAGATTTTACCAGCTACCTACTAATCGACTCTAGTTGGCTAGCTAGCTACGTCAGACAATAACACGAGATATAAGATGCATTCACTCGCTATTGGAAAAATCTGTTCATTATACCTGAGCTATTACATAGTTATACAATTATATTTATAAAGATGCTTTCAATCGCTATTGGAAAAATCTGATCATTATACCTGAGGTATTACATAGTTATACAATTATATTTATTATCACTAAATTCTAAACATATAACGCACACAATTAAATGGAACCGAAAATTATTTATTCATATCAGCCATTGGCAACTAATTTTTATGTCGCCACAGCTCAAAATTATCATCCGCAGCTCGTCTTCCCAAATAAAGTTGTAATGAAAAACCGAGCATTTCAGAGAGTACATGAAGGGTGCATTCTGACTGCAGGGCCTGCGATTGGTCGGAGTGGGTCACGTAGACACGCTGACGCTGACTTCGTGCGTCATGTGGTTCCAGGTGTTTTCGTTTAGTATACTAAGAATCCGTATCTGGTTTTTAATATAACATATTTCTTGTCATTAGGTTAAACAGTCATTGGTTTGGTAACTTTATTTTGGTGCGCTTGTGTTTAGAAGTGAATCCTGTTGTTGGCGGTAATGGACCACAATGCTGTGGACCAGTAGATAAACACGGAACGCAAATGCGGCATATTGTTGAATTGCATTGTTCCAGCTAGTACAATGTCGTCTGATAGCAACCATTGCTCGTGTTGCTCCCATCCAGTCTCATCTCCTAGTGTTTACCAGACGTTGAATGAAATGGATTTTGAACGAGGTTTGCATTCATGAGTCAGCCATGCAGTGGCAGAGTTAAACCATGGAGCTAAGTTACAATAGGAAAGAAGAGGCCTCTTCCAAACTAAAAGTGTTGCATATTTCCCCTTTCATTTAATGACTTGGCCTAATTATTATTTTCATGTCTGATTTGAGTGATCTGTCATTGAAGTATGAGTGCCATTCTTCTCTGCAGGTATCTGGTCTGCTGCAATGGATGGGGACTTGGAGAGGGTCAAGTCCTTGGTCGAGAAGGGCACAGACCCTAACCTGAGAGACTCATCTGGATACGCTGCTCTGGTGAGGCTGCTGTAAAGATGTTTGGTTCTAAGTGCTGTATTGTGCTCAGTTTAAATTCCTGCGTCATTTTTATGAGCTTTTGTATGGTTTGTGTCAGCACTATGCAAGTCGCAGTGGTCACCTTGCTGTATGCAAGTTTCTTCTTGAGAATGGGGCCTGTGCATCCCCTCAGACACCAGGAGGTGCCACACCACTCCATCGCTCAGCATACTGCGGCCATGTGGATGTGGTTAGACTCCTTCTGCACCACAGGGCAGATCCAATATTCTGTGATGATGATGGTGCATCCCCTTTACATAAGGTACAAAGATGCCCGCATAAATATAATCAAACAATTTCAAAGAAACAGTTTGATAATCATTATACTTTCTGTTAAAATCTTGAGCAGGCTGCAGAAATGGGTCATGAAAAGGTGTGTCAGCTGCTTCTTGAGCTCTGTCCAGCACTCTGCAACCAGGTGAACAAGAGGCTACAGCTGCCCTATCAGCTGGCACGGCAGGGGGATCTGCAGGAGCTCTTAAAACCACCTCGGTGATGACAGACACACTGCATCTGGGGCATAATAAGTCTCTAAGATCAGACAAATAGTAGAAGCTCAAAACATAAGTCATAAGTGTTTTGACCTAGACTTACTATATTTGGCATCTTCTGTCTCAACTGAACATCAACAAAGACCCACTGAATAAATAACAAGGTGAACACAACATTTTTCTAGCTTCATACTATAAATATCATCATGATTTTGATTTCTGTTTTAGTGTTTGTGTAATAATTACAGCTTCTAAGATAAAGAAACCTCTAAAACCTGCCAAACACCAGTGTCTGTTACTGCAGCTCAAAGTGGGAATTTGTTAATGTGATGATTTCACTATGGAATTAGCTTGACATGAGGATTTCTGTTTCATACAAGTTAGACAGGCAGGTGGGGTGGAGGTGTCGCTAACACAATAAGCAAAGGGCACTGACAGTGAACCTGAGCGGGATCAATAGATAATGTGTCTGAGGGTTCAGATTATACAGGATCCTCCTTTGATGAGTAATGCTTTAGTAGTTTTAGTTAGCTAGCCAGTGTAAATCTGTATATAGTTAGTTTGCCTGTTATAGGGGTACTTCAGTAAAAGGCACATGCATTGTGGGGCAACTGTGGTTCATGTGGGGCGACCGTGGCCGTCTCCCAACCGGAGGTTTGGAGGTTTGAATCACGGTGCCCGCAGTCCACATGTCAAAGTGTCCTTGAGCAACACACTGAAGTTACCCCCAATGGTTAGAGCCATCAGTTGAGTTGGCGCCACAGATGGCTTCCTCAGTTCTGTACCAGAAGCAAATTATTTGTGTGTGTAACATACTTGGCCAAATAAAGGTTATTATTATTTTTAGTATTACTCCCATTTACCCTTTTAAGTAGTGAGGTGTCACTGGAATCGAATTGACCACAAACATTTTTGGAAAACCCAAGTTTTTTTTTTTCTTAAATTGTTTGAGTCATACAGACACCAGACAATGGGAATGTGAAGTCAGCCTCAGCAGAACACAAGGTTAAAAATTACTGCACCTAAACTCACCATATGCAGAATTAGATATCATTTTAGAAAGCAGCAGACACAAAATTGCTATTAGAATAAATTGAAAGACAGTAAAGACCTGAAAATACCTCAATAATTGCAACAATTTGAGTCAGAAAAGAGCATCTTGCAAAGTCCTTGGAAGTGGTTTAGGTATGTCTAGTCGCAGCTACTTGGTCATCACATATTGAATATATGCAGTGCACAGCAAATACCGGGCTTTTTAAACCTCTGGCAGCAGGGGGTGCTATCGGCCTACAAACAGCATTTGCTGTCCTCTAGTACACCATGTAGATTAGCTGGCAGCCTACACACAGTGACCTCATTCCATCCTCCTAACACCCTGTTGAAAAGCTAAATAGAGTAACTGTTAGCAAGAGAGGAAAGCGTCAGTGTAGCTGTTACAGCTGGTAGTAAAGCATCATGGATGGACGCCACTGTTTAGCCAGATTATGGGTTATTTGCTATCATGTTTTTCTGAACTGCTGGTAATTCTAGCTATTTTGGACACATTGGTCAATTTGATATGGCCTTGAGGAACCCTAATGCTCAGTCTACATACTTTGCTAGTAATATGTCTCCACAACTTCATTTATGGTCTTTATATTTTTTGGCAAAATAATGACTTCAAACTGCACAGCTGTCCAACTTGGAAACTATGACTCTTAATTTGCTAAGAAGTGTTTACCTGTGTTTTTTGATGACCTTTTGTGGATCACTGTGACCTGTAATAGGAAAATTAAACATCTTCTTTTAGCAGTTATTAAGTTTTGTCATGCCACTCTCACTGAGATGGCTTATCCTTTTTTTAGGTTATCAAAGGCAGGACACTTTACTGAGTACTTTTTTAATTCCATATTTATATGCAAAGGAAACAAAGGATGGAAGCTTGGGGCTGAATAAAGGAAGTTTATATTTCCATATCTAGTGAAACAGATGGAAATGCTTACAACTATTGTCTCACATACTTCTTCAAAGCATGTTCAATAAGTAACACATGCACATACAAGAGGCAGATATCTTTTCCTCTCTGCCTCCAACAGATGTGCAGAGTGGCACTGCACCTTCTTGTGCGCTCCTGTAGTCCACACAAATGCTAGCTCTCGCTGCAGTCTGAGGACTTTCATTGGGTCCACTGGTGGGTGGTGTTTCCAAACTACCTTCAAACCACATCCAGTGCCGTGACTGGAGGGATGCCAGGCCACATCTGGAGTTCATTGCAGCTGACGCCACACAGCACAACGAGATGGGGTGTCGGAGGTAGGAGGAGTGGAATGGGAGTATTTTAGCTTGGTGAGCTAAGTCTAGAGAGCTGTTTACACTCCCTGACATGTTCCTCTTTCTGCATAGCTGAGGGTCTGTTACCAGAATCACCTGACTTGAGTGCCACACGTCAGTAATAGAGTTTTACTCAACCCTTTTGTCACTGATCACAGACCATATCTCTATATGTTTTCTAAATGGTCCAACAAACAAAATTCACATTATGCTATTTGAACCAAACCAGTAATTTGCCTGGCACTAGGAGTCACACCCACCCACTGATTGTTCCTTTGCCAGGTTCTGTGTAGCATAATCAGAGTTGATGTTTCAGATTTGCTAGCAGCGAGATAATGGAAACCCTCTGTGCCACTCAATAAAACCGAAGGAATGTTGAAGGGCCTCACTTGTTTTTGATAATTTTTTCATGAGCTGGTTTGAATTTGACTGCTGCTTTGTCCTTTTGTGAGGAAACAATCAGAAACTGGTCTGTGGTGGTACAAAATCAGCAGCTTTATCGCCCACCTTCTTTCATAAGTTTCTTCAGCACAAGTTGCAACGAGCTAAGGATCTAGAAGCTTTCTCGTAAGTTGGGGAAGACTCCACAGCATCAGACATTTGGATTACAGCTCTGTTTGAATGAGATTTATTTGGAAAGCAATGAAACTTCCTGGCCCTTGAAACCACTTCCACCATAATGAGCCCAAGTTAAACCAGGGGTCTATGCTATTTTCCTCAGGAATAGAAGGTGGTCTGTGTGCCATCTTGCATGGAGGATTTACAGTCAGTGCTTGGGACTTAATTTTAAACAGTACTTTAGCCTGAGAGAGGATGGTGAAAACAGTTTGTCCTCTGTATATTTCTCCAGTTTGAGAGTTATGTTTAAAGTGTAAAATTAGTTGTTTTTGTGCCTAGCAAGTAGTTCAACACTACAGTAAATATGCAAATGACCCTTGTAGCCCATTGAGCCATGTTAATTGCCTTTGTTTCAATGATATGTGGATGCTTGTTATCACAGATAAAAGGGTAGTCTGGTTCGTATCTTTCCTGCATCTACCTTCACAGTGCCACTCTCTGGCCCCCCAGTTGCCCTGGCAGAGCCGGACCTTTCTGAGTTATCCTGTAGTAATCAGGTAAATAGCTGACAGATGGGTGCACATTAAGAAGTAGAGTGCCAGATTCTGGCATGGATGACTGCCCCCACATTATCTCATCTGCATCAGGGAAGTACAGTAGGAGTGTGGGTGTTGCATGGGACGACACATGTAATCAAATCTACAGGAGCTGCTCCTACGAGATACTGCATAATCCAGTTGATGTCCACTCCCACTTCAAAGCAGCATGTTGTCTGCTGGTTGAAGTGATGTTGCAGATCTTAGGCTCCCACTCTCCAGGTCAGCTGGTGATGAAAGCCATGAGTCCAGAGGGCTGCACCTCAGCTTATCCAGGCCAATCAGCGCTGTGAGTGTTGTAAATGTCAGGCTGATCAGTTGTATGACCATGTGATAAATGGTTTTGTATGTGTAATCATTACATTTGTTAATTTTGTTTACTCTGATTAGAAAGGCATTTTATTTCAACCACATTATATGTAGGTCTTCCAGTCATTTTAATGTCGGCTACGGAAGGAATGTAAATGGAGTCTGGGTTCTTGCAGCTACACTTGGACTAAAATGCAATTAACATATCTGGACAATGTCAAAATGTCCATATTGGCGACCACAATTATGAAAGAATTTTCCCAGGAACAGGTAGTAATTTTTGTGTATTGTGGATATATTTGAGGGGGGACATTTATTTTCCTAGATGTTTTTTTTAGACTGGTGGATGGTAAAGTTTCTTTTTATTGATTATGGAGATGTAATCTTCTCAAAAGCACAGCTAGAAAAACATCCTATAAGCTTTACCATATGAGTCAGAGGACAATTAATGAAGCTTTTAGGATCATATATCTATTTCCCATCATACCAGACTGTTGTTACAAATCATGTATCATATGTCAAATCTGCATAATTGCTCTGCAAATCTACTACATACTGTATATGCTCCAAGACGTGTGTGCTTTTCCAGCATATATGTGCACACGTTTAGTTGTCCTCCCCAGCTGCACAGACTTCAGAACTCAGACTGCTGTTCATAGTACTCAGATTGTTTACTTAAGTAAAGGTAGTTTTACCACAGTATAAAAGTACTCGGTTACAAGTAAAAGTCTTTCATTCAAATGTTACTTAGGTAAAAGTACAAAAGTATTAACATCACAGTGCTAAAAAGGAAAAATATCCCTACTCATTATGCACAATAGCACATTTGACATTAATGTATATCATATTATTTGATTATAATTACCAATGCATTATTGTGTACATCACATTTAATGTTTTAGTTGGTAAAGGGGGAGCTAGTTTTAACCATCTTATATGTCTATAAATTGAATTACTGCTCGGTGGCTTATGAAGTTTCCACTGGAGATCAGTAATGTCTTATGATTATACTGTATTTTATTTTATTAATCTGATTCTGAGAAGTACTTGTAACTAAAGCTATAAAATAAGTGTAATGAAATAAAAAGTGAAATATTTGCCTCTAAAATGCAGTGAAGTAGGACAAAATGAAAATACTCAAGAACAGACACCTCAAAATTGTACTTAAGTACAGCAAAGGATTTGAATCTTCATGGCTGATGAAGTAAAATGAAAGAATAAAAAAATAATATAGATCTTAAAAAAACAAAACTAGTTATGCTTTATGAGTCCAATATTTCATTGATATGGTCGGACAGACTGAATGGGATGGGAATATGATTCCTCATTGCATTCAGACATTAGACGAGCAGAACAAAATAACTGGTGGTATTTATTCACAGCTAAAACAATAGAGCTTGCACCTCGCTCATTAAGAACTGCCCTGCAGTACTGTACTGCTGCTGCACGTGTAATTGAACAAGATGGTTACATTGATGAACTAAGACTCACAGAGGCATGACGCCCCTCTGTCAGCAGGTGCCTGGCACACACTAGCCCATTCATATGCGCATTCCTGTCTCTCTACTTGTAGCCCAGCAGGTTCCTCCCAGGCCACTCAGGACAGGGGCTGGCGCACACAATGGGTCTTCAATCTGCCTCAGACAACAGCCAGCATAAAGGCCCGGAAAGCCACAACAGTGTTATGTCAAAGAGGAGGCTGGGGGTAGTGAGCAGAGCTTGGGGGGCCCAGTGTAGAACAGGGGCACTGCTGATGGATTGATGAGGGCCGGGCTCAGGCAATGTAGTGGAAGGCCTGTCTGAGGTTTTTGTGCATAAAGGAGGATATTTGTACTTGCCTAGTAACAATGGAATGCAAACACAGAAAGCGAGGACAACAAAACACCACTTTAGGGCGATGAAGAAGCTGCAAGGGAAATCATCATGCAAAGCATCCCTGGAGCAGATATTGTTCACTCTGGGGATTGCATGACTGTTTGTTCTCATGCTGATGTGTGGCTTAGCCTGCCTTCAGTTTGCTTTTGCATAAGGTATTCCTGGCTTTGACAGTGTCCGGCACATTTCCTTACGCTGAAAGGAAGTGAGGAGTGATCAGAAATGCCCCACCTCATCTTTAAAGCAGACTGTGTTTAGAAGAAGCTTTTGTCTGTCGCATCTAGGCAAAGGTTCAACTGCCTTTACGGCCCACACAGTCCAGGCCCTATCTCAGATAATAATGACTAATTTACATTATTTGTCTCGTTGTAGACAACCTGTGAACACATTTACCTTTTTTTTTACAGATAAAAAATAATCACATTGTGTAATTTTAAATAAAAATCACAAGCCTTCATTTTATAGCCTTTCATTTAAGTCCTGTTGGTTAGCTCTTTCTGTAATTCTTGAGCTACCATGGGATATACACATCACAGGGGTAAATTAACGATTAATAATTGACTCTCTTTCAGATTACCCCCAGATTATTGAAGCTTTCATTATCTTAATGAGTTAGTACTGAAATATAGACTATAAGTCTTACCTTTGTTGCTATAGACCACTGAAGATCATCTTTTATTGGTCTGCAAGTGCTTTTCAAAATTGTTTTTTGTCCCATTTGTTTTGCACAAATTTTCCCTTTTAGCTATATTACTCACCTCCTGTCATCAAAGGATAATAAGCGACCAAATGAATGAATAATCATCATTTGTAATAAATTCTGAGAAGACTTTCATGTACTGTGTAGATGTTTTAAAGATAAAATGAACAACTTGATGCTTCTCAGCTGTTTATCAGTGACACAGTACAAACAGAAATATTTATAAAATGTCTGGTTTCAAACCACTGTTGCATCAAAGATTGTATCAGCCATGCTTTGATGCTCTGGAATCAGGATGTGGATGACTTCAGCATGTGCATGGTTAACTCACTGTTAGTTACACCAATAAATATGTTTGGTTTTTCTCTGGTATGTATGCAGTCATCAGATTCACACTCCATCTGTTTCTTACTGTAGTTAAGCTGCACTCTTTGAAGTTGTTACTTAAGTGCATTTGACAAAAAGGCAGATTCAAAATGTTCAAAATAAAATGAGATATACAGTACAACAATTTAAAGATATAACATTAAAGGACGAGTTTGACATTGGAAAATAGAATTACATGACAGGATTGGCACCACTGTTGTGTGTCCTAAATACGAAGCTGGAGCTATAAAACAGCTTACCATAAAGATGGCTAATGGGAAGAAATGACTAACCTGGTAATAAAATCCACCTACCAACACCTTTAAAGCTCACTTATACAGAAGTGTAAAAATGACACCTTGTAGTTTTCCTTTTGGTGGTGGTGGTGGGGTACTATGTGCTGTACTATTTGCTGGCCTTGTGCAACCACCATAACCTGTATATAAAGATGGACCATGTGACACCACTTCTTGTAACTGTGCAAGTGAAGCCAAAATATTACAGCTACAGGGACAGCCATCTTGCTTTTGTGACACAATTTGCAATCATATTCTGCATAATATTGACCAAAAGTGGAGTCACAGCATCAGACCTCCAATCAAATCTATCAAATCATCTGAAATACATCCCCTTTTATATTTTATATAGTAAAAACAAACAAAAAAACTTCTCACATGAATGACCATATAGATACAAACCAGTTATAGTATCAACCCAAAATAATATAAATCATCTTTGGGGAAAATTTGATTTTGATATGTCTTTTAAATTTTTTGTTTGGCTCAATTTAAATATTTTTTTTTTGTTTGGCTCATGCCCTGTCCGCCGACCCTGGTAGGCTAGTGGTTAAGGCGCAGCGCTCTCGCCGTGGCGCCCCGGGTTCAAATCAGGGTTGTGTCAGGAAGGGCATCCGGCGTAAAACACGTGCCAAATGTCAACATGCGAGTCGTCAGTGTGACAATTTGCTGTGGCGACCCCTAAATGGGAAAAGCCGAAAGTGACTTTCTTTCATGCCCTGTCCACTAACATGAAGGGGGTGGGGGTTATGACGTATACTGCAACCAGCCACCAGGGGGTGATTGACTTGTGGTGGCTTACAGACTAAGGAGCTGTCACATTGTCCATCTTTATATACAGTCTATGGAGTATCTGCCATTTGTCTGCATGGCAAAGTTAGTGTACAGACAAGAGAATACTATCAACATTCTCATCTAACGATCTCTCTAGTCTCTAAACTCTGGTGTACACCGGGCCCAAATGCATTGTTTGTGTTTTTGTATTCCCTGCTGTGACTCGATTTATAATCTAAAATTTGAATTTTGGGCCAATTGATTAAAGGATCAACACTAATCTGGGTAAGTCCAAGACGTTATACATTCTGTAACACCATGCCAAGATCCTCCTACTGGTAGGAGCTCAGTTTGGGGTTTGTAATAGCAATAAACATTTTGTTTGCTGTCTCAGTAAAGGGCAGTAGTCTACAGTACAAGTGCAGTAGAGGCAGGTATCTTTTTTTATAAGGCTCAGATTTTGTTTTTATTCATTTAGACATCCAATGCAGTTCTTTGAATCTACAGTAGAGCCAAGCAAATACTAAAGTTTCCTGAATTTCCCTAACATCTCTCAAGATTAACAATGTGTGGAAGATGAAACACTAACACGGGATGGAACCATAATCTGTTTTTTGTCATCTCATTCTTTAATTTAACAACCAAACTAGGTTTCATGTCTTCGCAGCTTCAGTCATCAATTATTTGTCAATTGTGAATCAAAGACCATACGAGTTCTTTAGAGTTCAACTATGTGTTTGTTCAGGCAGAGCAAACTTGAGTTTGTCAGCAGATACATTTTAAATTCTGATCCTCTTTGAAATGCTGCCTGAGCATATGATCTTCACACCAGCACAATAAAGTTATTTTATAGTCTTGAACAAAAAGTTGATAGAAGTGTTTATGTTCTGTCATAGTATTCATCTTGGTTATCTGATGTCCTACAGAGAAGACAGCTATCCCTCCTCAGATACCTATCAACTCAATAACATATGGTAGTCATACCAGGTCAGTCCATAAATGTCTCTTTGTACATTTGTCTTCTATCATCAGCCATCAGCTTGTGCTTCTTTAAAATTTAATTATTTATACTTTTTCATTTTTTTCAAAAGTGTAGGCTAGTAAAGGTAAAATGTCTTTGTAAAATGCAAGAAACATTTATCTTCTTGTTCTTTTATGTTTACATGGGTCTTTTCTCAAGGATAATAATGTCCTTCCAAAATACAAGTGGTGTTCCATAAAAATGAAACCTGTCTCCTACTTCTGTTATAATGTTTCACATTTAGGCCTATTGATATTTGTTATGTGTTAACATGAATAGTTGTTACGGTGTTTTTGTTCTAAGCACGTCTGAGTTTGTGGTGAGTTTGTGTATTTTTTTTTTTATCCACTAGGCCTATTGTGTTGAAATGTAATACTGGAGTACTGTAATGATTTGCTGTCAGTGTATTTGTGTGTTGTGCGGTTCTCAAATCCCGCAATGCAAAGATCGTGGTGCGGAGAGGTTGTGGATGTGCTGGAGATGCTGTGGATGGCAGGGGGAGCCAGGTTTCTACCACACCGGACAGACATGCAAT